GACTGAATAAACAAGAAATTGTGGATTTCTCACACATTATTAAAATTCATCTCGTCAAACTTCATTTAACGTTGGTGTTGTTTTATTTTCTTTGTCCTGTAGATTTTTGCTGCGGGACAAATAACTTCAGGAAAAAAGARCAGAGGGTTGTTTTTTCAGATTGTGGTGTTTTCTTACACAGGAACATGTTTCCTGCTCACAACGCACAACAAAATGGACCTCATTTTAAAAAAAGAAAGAAAAAAAGTGGCATTTATTATTTATCATAACTCCGGTTCTACTTGGCCTATCAACACAATTTAAGATATAAGATAAACCTTTATTATTGTACAGAGCACAATGAAATTACAGTAAAAACTGGTTTAACCTCTTCGGCCCAAACCATAATTTCCTGTTTTTTATTTCTTTTAACTTCAGATGTGTCAGTTGAACCTGGACATGTTTGGTATCAATAGAAAGTTAAGAATCTTGGCTAAAAGCTCCTGGAAACTATTTTTACATTCATCAAACAAAGTTTAAACACCAAGCAGTTGAATCAGAAAGTAAACAATCTGTACAAAATGGGATTGTTGCAAATCTGTAAATACATTACAATAAATCTGTAAAGGATTTTTTTTGACATTTGTTTTTAAAGCAAGTCAAAGCAGATACCTAAATATGTAATAGTGGGTTGAAAGTTTAGTTTTTTAAACTTGATTTTGAGTGAATCTGATCCAACTGAAGTCAAACATAATTTCTCATTATTTTATTTAATATATATGGAGACAAATAAATGTTTGGATAATCTTTCAAAAGAACAAAAACTCAATAACAAGTCTTTTAAGGCTTGTAAGAAAAAAATAAATAACTTGTGCAATTAAAAACTTCAGATTTCTTAACATTTATTAATGGAACCATCATGGTCTGTCCTGTGCAGAATGACTAAACACTAAATTATTTCTTTATTAAAACCTCTGTAAGTTTGCTCCAGTTCATTTTAGCAGCATGAATCTTTGCACAGGTGATGTCCACAGGTGGATTTATGGTTTCCAGGAGTTTTTAGCCTGATTCATTATGGTTTTAAATGGGTTATATACTGTCTAATGATAACATTGGGCCTCATGCAAGAACATGTTCGTATTCTTCTCCTAAATTTCTCTTKCTTTTGTTCGTACAAAGGGTTCGTACGAACATGTCACGTCAGA